ACACGGACAGCAGCTCGGACCTATCGGACTGCCCCTCCGAACCGCTGTCCGACGAGCAGCGCCTGCTCCCCGCCGCCAGCAGCGACGCTGAGTCTGGCACGGGTTCTAGCGACCGGGAATCTCTGCGAGTAGTCTCCGCGACGAGTCCCGCAGCTCGGGGGGCGCCGCTACTCAGCCCCGAGCCCCCCGTACTCCTCGCCGCGCCCCCCGCCGCCGGCGCTTTCCTCGGGGGTCGGAGCAGCCCGGGCAGGGTCCCCGCGGGGTCCCCCGGCCCCAGCGGGGCAGAGGATGCCGGGGGGCGCGCGCCGCCAGAGCGAGGGGTGCCCGGGACCCCCAAGGAGCCCGGCCCGGGCGAGCAGCCCCCACTGGCCCCGGCGGTGGAGGAGGAGGAGCTGCTGCGGGAGATGGAGGAGCTGCGCTCGGAGAACGACTATCTCAAGGTGAGCAGCGGGCGCTGCGCAGGGGTTCCGAGGCGGACCCCCAAGGGTCTGCTGGCCGCGAGCCCAGCCTCCCGGGTCCTGATGAGCGCTTTCCCCTTCTGCCTTTCACTTCCCTTTCCCCGAACACGCTGGGTGTTTGGAACTTAAGCCACAACTTCTGGAAGGAGCAACAAGACCTGTGGGTCCAGGCAGGTTCTCAACCCACGTAGCTTTTCTTGTTTCTAGAAGTCTTGCTTCCCTCTCCGGATGCCCGTTCCCTGTCAGTGTGCCGTGGGAGAAGGGGTTTTCAACGCATTCTGCATGCACATCGAACCCCCATCACCTGCGAGAGCGGGTTCTCCCCCATCTAGGACCTCTGGTCCCCGCACCTGCGGCTGTGTCTGCCCCCGGAGGCTGCGGTGGGCCAGGCTCTTGTTATTACAGAAAATCACGCGCCGTGTGTCTCTCCCTCCGGGTTCAGACAGCACGGGCAGAGGGGTCCTTCAAGTGGGGCCTGGTTTGAGGGACAACAGTGTTTTGCTTCCCAGGCCTCGGTAAGCGTCCGTGAGCAGGGTTTTCCGTGTCAGGAGGAGCCACTTGATTCCCTCCACAGGCCAGCACTTTCGAGGGAATTGCAACCTCTGCCGGTATTTTCCAGCAAGGCCTGCGAGCCATGGCCTCTTGGTCTGGTTAGCCTTTGGGCACTGAACCTGAATCCATGTTTTCTCGGAGGAGGAGAGCTGGCTGGTGCTGCATGCAGAACAGCGGGCTTAGACAATGTTGGGTGGTGGGTGGGGGTGAAGACAATTGAGGTGTGAGGTGCCTTGAGAGAAAATAAAGGTAATTATGTTGAGGGCAATGGTTTTAATTTATTGTAATCCTCAGGTTAGTAAAGAGCTCCAGTGATGCAAACAAATCCATGCTTCTGTCAAAAGATGGTATATATCTCCTCTCAATCCACTTGGGTGGTCCTCCTTTATCAGTGGGTTATATGATTGGCACTGTTTTCTCAGCAAAGGCTGAACCTACCTGATTGAGGCCCCGTTTCTGGTCAGTGGGACCAAAGGTGTGGGCTTTTATGAGGAATGGTGGTGAAGTGTGCCGTGCAAACTGGAATCAGTTAGCTGCCCAGTGTTCTAAAGGGAAGCCTTTTATCAGGAGCTGCTCTTGACCAATTGAACCCAGTAGTTATTTTATCATGTGCAAAGAAGTAACAATGAGGGGAAGGAGAGACCTGGGAAAAGAGTAGATTAGGGCTTGGAGTGAGATGTTTCAAATAGTACATTTGCTTTTGTCACCTACTCTTATGTAACAGACAACAGGGTGAAATTCAGAGGTGTTGAAGAGAAAGGGCCACTATATTGCCTGACTCTCTGAAAGCAGCACTTTGGTAAATCGTCAACAAATGCAATCTCCCTGAGGGTGAGAAAGATAATCTTGTTCAGTTTTGAGCCCCAACTCTGGGCATAATCCCTGACCCTCTGTGTTTCTGGTTAAATGATGTTTATGCCAATTATGACTGCTAAACAAGAAAATATTTTAGCCCTAATCAGTTTGGCTCAGTGGATGGAGCATCGGCCTGCAGACTGAAGGGTCCTGGGTTCGATTCCAGTCAAGGGCATGTGCCTTGGTTGCGGGCACATGCCCAGTGGGAGGTGTGCAGGAGGCAGCTGATCGATGTTTCTCTCTCATCGATGTTTCTAACTCTCTGTCCCTCTCCTTTCCTCTCTGTAAAAAAATCAATAAAATATATTTTTTAAAAAAAATATTTTAAAGATATTACTCATTATATCTTTGATTTTAAGGTAGGCAGTCTGACCTCATTTCAGGGTTCATTCCTAGGTAACTGGCTATTTGCTTTTATGTTTTCACATTGTTGGTTTCTCAGTGAATGGAATATATGTCTGACCCTGGAGTCTCGTCTAGTATATTTGATATTTTAGTGAATCTTCACAACAACATAGGATACGGTTGTTGGTAAATTTTAATCCCAATTTCACAGGCAAGGATGCTGAGACCCCGACAACTTAAATGACTTCCCCAAGGTCATACAGCCGGTAAGTGGTGCCACCTCCAGAGCCTTTGCTCTGTTCCCTGCAGCAGGCTGCATCCTCTTTCCAGCAAGGCTGCTTTGCTCAGAGTTCGCTGCTTGCTTTGGAGTTGTTGTATTCGCTCCAAGTGCTCCCAGGGTTTAGCTTTTCCTAGGGGCCCTATTTTCTTTTTAGGTGAAAGGGCCATAATGAACATCTCTTCCCTAGCCTGTGTACAAGTGGTCATATAAGTCCCACTGGCAATGGTTAATTTGTGGGAAATGTTCAGTTGCCATTTCCTGTGGAGCAAATGTCACAGCCAACTGTTCACTATGCCTGAGTCCATCTCCCAGCCTTTCTCTCCCAGCAGGAGAGAGATGTGGGCAGAGGTGGTTTGAAGGAGGAGAGGAGACCAGAAGAACACTCACAAATATATGTGTGAGTTACATGTTTGGTCATTCCCGAGATTAAATTACAATAGTTCAATTTGGGGAAGACACACAGCAATTCTGGTAGACTTTTCCAAAGGTCAGCGAACCCTCCCACTTAATGCAAATCTGGGAGGGGAGCATCCATGACCTCATGGAGCAGAGGCAGTGGCATGCCTTTGCACGTGGTATTTAGAGCATGCACATTATAAGTTGGAACTTCTCTTTTTGTTCTTGTTGCTCAGCAGCACTCTTGAAGATGGTAGGTAACAGTGCATCCTTGACCTACTGCTTTCCCAGGGACTGCTGCCCAGAACTCTGGCGATTGGATAGAGCATCTCTCTGTTCAAATGTTATCTAATAAGAAGAGACCCAGCCCAGAAATTGTACTTCACTATATTCTGGAGGAATGTGACAATATTAAGTATTACATTCTTTTCTGAGTCAGTTTTGTTATCATTGCTGTACGAGACTGTCACACTTTCTGAGCTAGAATGACGATGGGGTAACAAAGCAGAAAAACAAGGCCTGTGAAATCATAGGAGAATGTCTTATTGATCAGGAAATTCAAGTGGAATTCTCTTGTTTTTTAGCCAGACCGCTGTATTTTTTTTTTAAAATAGCAAATGTCAACAGAGAAGTGCATGCCTTCTGTTGTGCTGTACGGGGCTGTCCTTGACCCTGCTTTCTATTCCTTTACTACCTTCATCAAAGGGCAGCAAGGTGACTCAAAGAAAAAATGCAAAAATCACTCAATCCATTTTTCATGAACACAGTCAGAAAAGCATTCTTGTTGTCCCTTTAGCTCTGGTGAACTTGGATGTATTTGGAAGTGTTCAGAAATTAAGGTAAACAGTTGAGTTCAGGTACCCAAAGGCCTCTGCTTCTTCCTCAAACCAAACCCAAGCATGTTTCATAGTGAGGACTTCTACAAAATGTTGCTGGCGTGTTTCCCCTGCCCACCTGTCTGCCACCACTGTGTTTCTGCTTGAGTGCTGTGAGGTAATCAGGCAACCTTACTGCTCTTTGTGAACGTATTAATTATGTTCTCTGTTTCCACAAGCTATTCGGGAGGATTTAATCACTCCGAGTTTATTGGCCTATTTTGAACATGTCTTTCACATTACGGGTGGTGCACTCATAACACCCTCACTTTTGCTCCCAAAGAGTGTTGCTCCCAATTGCAATGTCCTGTGGGATGAGCAAGGATTGGTGTGGGGAAGGGCTGCCTCTTTTTGCTCTCTGTCATTTCATAAGAATTATTTTTGGTTAAAACAAAAGAAGCCAGTGCTAGCTAGCTACAAGGACAAATAACATTGAATTCTTTGAGAGGAAAAATTTCCCAAGGGAGATCACTGGGAAGGTCTTTTTGTTTTTTTACGGTGCACTGATCCAATCTTACCATTCTGTTTCTCACTTGAGGTTGTCTCCTGAGTTTCAAGCTCTGAAATGGTTTTGTTAAATTTGGCTGCCTGGGTTCTAAATGCTCAGTGTGGCCCAGAGGCGGGGACACCATGAGGCAGGGCCCAGCAGTTCTGAAGTGCTTCAGCTCCTCCGTCCCTCTTCTGGACCCTGCTCTTCCTCCCTTTCCTTTGGCAGGGTAAAGTGGACAGCATTTCTATTCTTTCCTGACATCCCACTTTCCACATCCATTCTTTATTCACTCTGTGAAAGAGCCGCTGTAATAATCTTGGGTGGCAAGATAATGTAGACCAGGGCCAACAGCCCATCAGCTGCTGGGTGAACTATCACTTGGAAAACAATGGTAGCAGCCCCTGCGCCTTCTTAGCTACAGCTGGGACTCTGCAGAGAACATTTCCATTGTCCAGAGGGAAATGAGGCGGGTTATTTGTGTATTACAACAGACAATAGTTTCTGTCTACAACTCCCCGAAGATGGAATTATTGCAGCAGTAGCCAGATGACTCCTCCTACTGTCCAAATTGGGCCTATTTAAGAAGGGGTTATTAAATCAATAGTAGTTATTGATTTGGGGTTGTTTAAAGGAGATTGTGACTTGGATAAAATTATCTGTATGATCAAGAATTTGCATCAGTTATACTAAGAAACCATGGATTTGGGTTTTACTTTATATTTGTGGCTAAAACTGTTCTCATAGAGGTTTTCATTGAAGCATTTCATTTTAATCTTGGTGGATAGTGATTTTCAAACTAACTACATTAATTTTACTTTAGTGCTCCAATAGTATCTGGTTATTACTCTAGTTTACTCTAGTGCTCCAATGGTATCTTGTTATTACTCTAATTTATATGTATATAAAATAGGCTCAATTTGTTATCTGTAGGCAAAGGGGGATAGTTGAAGAGATTCATACCACTTCATGATTTCATTTTAGATACAAAATTTGAAAAATTAATTAAAAAACTAGATGAGCTTTTCAATGAGATAATCATCTAACATTTAAGTATCTGATAGACCTGATGCTAATTTAATACAAAACTGTTGATTAAGAGCAATATTTTTCTTATTAACTTCTGTGTATAAACAAAACAGTAATTTTTCACTTTTACTTACTATGTCTAAAGTACATCTGCCAGAAACATTATATGTTCTGCTTGATTTGGCTTTCTTAAACATTTAAATGACAGACATCTTATGGTTCTTTAATACAAATTAGAGCGTGCTGTCAGAAAATTAATGTAGTTAGTTTGAAAATCACTATCCACCATGACCCTAATCTGAATAATCACGGTTTTTGCTTTCCAAATGTCTGTTGCCAGCTTACAGGGTTTATAATTTGCTTTTTTGGGTAACTTCTTTTCACTGAACCTGAAAATTGCTTTTTTTCAAGGCTCCAAGAAAAGAGTTTAAACACTGGCTTCATCCCATCTCTGAAACAGACTAGTATTGGGAAGCCATTTAAACTTTTAGAATAGCAACTTCCTCATTTTAAAAAGGGGGGTGTCTTAATATCTTTGTTGCACATTACAATGTTTTTCTGAGGACCAGTTGTGATAATGGATATACTTGCACACTGACAATTGTCAAGCTCTAAATGTTAGCCTGCTTTTGTTATTTTACACTGACAGTGGGCTTTTAAAAGTGCAGTTTGAAGCCTATTATTATTTCTTTTGGTCTGGTTTTTGCAAGTAATGTATAGTATTTATTGGAAAGATTGTGTGCTTGGAATCAGACAGTCTGGGTTAGCAGTCTAGCTTCCATTTATTAGCTGGGACTTCAGACATGTCAACCAGTGTGGGTTTGCTTTTCTTGTCTATACAGTGGGATTAATATGTTCCTGGAAGGGTTATTATAGGGTTACTAATGAAGGTAAAGTGCTTAATAAAGAATGTTTTCTACAAATTTAGGTAAAATATGAGTTGTAAAAGTAATGATTCAAATACATGAAATTATGGTCTCTTCCTAATTTAGCCTCGGTGCAATTAATGTTGGTAATTATTTATGTCAAAAATATCAGCTGTTTATATCTCGCCTACTCCATGGTTTGGAGGTGTGGGTTCTTCTAGCCCTTAAGTAGTTTTTTTAGCCTGCATTGGTTGTTTACGCATTTACTAGCATATAACACATCCAGCATTTAACATTAGGCCAACAAGGGCTCTCCTATTACAAAGTCTGAAAATTCAAGAACATTTTTATGCCTGGAAGTTGTATCTTATATCTTCTTATGACTATATCACATTTTAAAAACTTTGGTTTGAATACCAAGTCATTACAAGCATTAGTGACTTTGGCTTTTAGGGACAAGCCTTCCAGATGGAAAAGCAGTCATAAACAATTCCTTCTGTGAACAGCATGGCCACAGACACTGTATATTTGTGTGTGTGTGTGTGTGTGTGTGTGTGTGTGTGTGTGTGTACATATGGTGATTATTTTTTGTATTGAACTATTTTTTATTAGTTCTACCCAGTGACACAAATACCTTTTAAGTGTCCTCAGACACAAGGGTAAAGACTAGACTCTTTCATCGTCTGACTCATCATATTCATGGATGGAACCTGGGTGAAACTTGACCTTGATTTTGAAGATACTCTCTTTATCAAAAGGATGACATCCACAGGGCCCACTTAAAGCTTTCCGTCTGTGGTTGGTCTCCTCCAGCATGGGCTGAGTCAGGGCACAGCTCCTGCACTGCATCCTCCAAGCCTCAGTGGGGGGAGCGGGCATCAGCCACAACCTCTTTGCTGAAGGTTGGCAAGGACCTTCACGAAATAGCTGAGTTCTCCAGTCCTCTGAAGAGCTCAGCCAGTCCATTCTGTTCATGTATGTTCAACGTAGGCCATTCTCTTGATTAGGTAGTGTGGACAGGGTGGGGAGAATCTACACGCTGGGGTTGAGGGAAAGCGATGGCACCTCTGGGTTTCCCCATAGACCTCTGCATACAGTTGAGGATGGCTGAAGAACTGTCTTCACCCTGTTTATGCCAATCTGTTTTCCCATAAAGATTCCCAATGTATTTATTTGTTACACTTTTGTATTTCATCTTATGCAAGATAAAATACCCTTCAGGAGGCTTCTTTCTGTTCAATTTCTTATCTACCTGAAGCTTTGAGATTGGGAAACTCTTGTGCTTTTTTTTAAAAAATATATTTTATTGATTTTTTTACAGAGAGGAGGGGAGAGGGATAGAGAGTTAGAAACATCGATGAGAGAGAAACACCGATCAGCTGCCTCCTGCACACTCCCCACTGGGGATGTGCCTGCAACCAAGGTACATGCTCTTGACCGGAATCGAACCTGGGACCCTTGAGTCCGCAGGCCGACGCTCTATCCACTGAGCCAAACCGGTTAGGGCTTTTTTTTTTTAATATTATTGTAAGTAAATCCCCAGTTTTAGGAACAAATGCAGGATTAGCAAGAGTGGGGAGAATCCAGGAGCAAACTGAATGGCAGGACCTGAGCTGACAACTTAGGGTGAAGTTTTGTAAAGTTTTTTTCTTCTTTTTTTTGAGTCTTGATATTAATTGAACAAAACAAATGGGAATGACTGCGTGTATCTTATTCTGGAGGTATTTTAACTACCAATTATCAAATCAAGAAAATTCTTAGCATCCTTTCCTTAATCTCCCTTCTTCTAAATAGTTCCTTGTTAAAATCTTTAGTAATACTTCAGTAGACTTTATATCTCACATATTGCAGCTCTTTCTAGGGGATTGAGAAAAATTTTTTTATAATTAGGCTACAGGATTGGAACAAAGCAAAGCTGCAGTTATGTCTGATATTGGTCATTGTTATGATTTGGTCTTTCTACGTGTTGACCGGGGCTGTGTATTCATTCCACACACATTTATTGAGGACCTGCTGTATGGCTCACACTCCTCTGGGGGCCGTGAATACAAAGAAGAACAAGACACTCACAGTGTCTGCCCTCATGGGACTTACCTTTTAGCGTGGGCGACAGATGATAAAAGAGGTGGAAGAATATAGAGCAAGCCAGGGACGAGAGACAGTGGGTTGGGGAGGGAAGGTGGTCAGAGAATGCATTGGGTGTCCTCCAAATAATGAGACCAGAGCCTCACAAAGTGCTGGAGGAGCGCTTTAAGGAGAGGGCGTAACAGGTGAAAGGCCTGGAGCAGTTCTCTACCTCCTGGGACAAGAGAAGGGGGGAGCCCAGAGGCCCTGGGGAGGCCTTTGAAGAATTTCTGGGTGTGATGGGAAGCCCCTGGAGGGTTTGAGTGTGGGAGGAGGTCCCAGTTCCATATTGAAAGGATAGCTGTCTGGGTTGAGAATGGACTGTGGAGAAGGAGAGGGTGAGGGGAAGCAGGGGGTCCCAAGTGATGAATTTACCTGTTTGTGCAGTAGCCCCTTGAGAGGGGTGGAGGGTGTGGTCTAGGAAGAGAGCGCCTGAGGTATTCTTGATGTTGAGCTGACAGCACCGGATTGGCTGTGGGATTGGAGGGATGGAGGGGAGGCAGGGACGCTGTCTGGGTTTTTCCTGTATTCAGAGGGTCTCCATATTGAAGCAAAGTGAAATGGAGGTGATATATAAAGGATAGGTGAATGGGGCAAAACAAACCCAGTGTGTACTTGAAACAATGTAAAGGTTTTATCTTTAGAATTTCGGGACCCCTAGTTAGTGCTGAGATTCGTTTTGTGGAACAGAATTTTAGGGACCTTGGCAGGTATGTTACAATTCCAGGGCAGGTCACAGTTATGATTCCGCTAGAGTTTATGTGCTTTGAAGGCAGGGTCTGTCTGACTCACCTTTGAAACCTGGATTGTGCCTTAGTGATGGGAGTCAATGTTCGGTTTGAATCTAAAGTTTAATTATCTGCAGAGTTATTTCATTTATTATTGTGATTACGTAAGGGAATATTGGGAATGGAATAAATATTAAGAGGCCACAATGAACAATTCAGCTGGGTTTTAGTTTCCTGATCCAAAATATTTGAACAGACATCTGGTGATATTCACTCATGTAAGAATGTCCAGAGGTCCCTGTGCCATATCACATAATAGGCCCTGTGGGTAAGTGTGCAGGTAGTTAATGTTTAGTATCACAGAGCGGGGGGGTGGGGGGGTGGGGGGGGTAGTCATGATCCTTTTTCTGAGGTACTCAGCTTATAAATCTACTCCGTCTGGCTTGTGTGTAGGATGAGTTGGATGAACTCCGGGCTGAAATGGAAGAGATGAGGGACAGTTATTTAGAGGAAGATGTTTACCAGCTGCAGGAGCTCCGGCGAGAACTGGACCGTGCTAATAAAAACTGCCGGATCCTGCAGTACCGCCTCAGGAAAGCCGAGCAGAAAAGCCTGAAGGTGGCCGAGACCGGTCAGGTGGACGGCGAGCTCATCCGAAGTCTGGAACAGGACTTAAAGGTGAGTGAGCGGGGCTGATGGGACGTGAGTTCCCGGGAGGAGCTGGGGTGGATGGGGTCACAGATCTGAAAATGCAGCCCTCGGACCCCACTTACAGGTGGTCTTAATGTCTGGTCATGTTTCTCTCAACAGACTTCAGCGTCTTTATGAACGAAGATTCATAGGGTGTGTGTGTTATATGGCTTTGGTGGTCCAAGATTTAAACCTGTCATATGAAATGGGATCTTCAAACATAATAAAAAAGAAAGAAAAGAAATCATAGGAATAGATCTATAATAAAAAAGAATTAATGCCTGGTAATTGGTGTGGCAATTGTATAGAAATGATACAGAAACTCCTTCTAAAGATCTGAAATGTTTTAAAAAAATCTCTTGATTATCAATTCAGTTATGGTCAAAGACCACTTTTAAGAGTTGACCATAATCACTTAACATTTTTATTGTTACTTAAGTTTCTAGGATGTAGAAAACCTGAAATTACCATAACCCAAGTGAGTCTTGAATAGTGTAGTGATGATTTAACTGAGGAGAAATAAGATCATAACTAATTGTTGAAAGTGTCTTTGAGAACCAGTGACAGAAATGGGAATGAGGTGAAGAAATCCCAGACTTTAAACCACGGCTTCTCTCGTGCCCAATTATCAAATCATTCATCAAGAGATGAACTATGCATAATGTCGTCCTTATTATGGGAGTACTTATAAAACCTCATTTAGCCTTTCATTATGATAACAAAAAAAGATCTTTGTACTTCTATAAAATTTATAAAACACTTATAAAATGTCATTTAGTGTGATATGAGTGTTATATATTTCTTTTGCAAAATCTCTTTCTCATTTCCTTTTAGAAAGTAAAAACGTTTAACTGCTTTTAACATTCAAATATTTTACCACAGGAGGTAACTTAAAACTTGACTACATTAAACATCTACAGAATTATTATCTTTTTTACCAAATAGGTTTAATATTACCTTAGGGAACAGAAAAATTGGTTGTGTATTGTTATTATTTCTAATTTATCACTTAAAACATCTGCACTTGAGCAGAATTAACATTCTTGGTAATATCCTATAAGGAAAGAGGGCTATCCAGAGTGGCACTTTAATCCAGATAAAAGTTGTATTCTTCCTCATAATGAGGACATCACATTTTAAACTAGTACCCTCCTGTAAAAATCGGCTTGTTAATATTGCTAAGGTCTTTGCTCTTTGGTGTAATACCATATCACTTAATGATTCTGCCTCAAAAGTTGTTTGAATGCAGCCTTGGCGCACAGAAAGCTTCATACCCGGGTGACTATCTCTGCAGGTAGCCAAAGACGTGTCTGTCCGATTGCACCATGAACTTGAAACTGTGGAGGAGAAGCGTGCGAAAGCTGAAGATGAAAATGAAGCCCTCCGACAGCAGATGATTGAAGTGGAAATATCCAAACAGGCCCTCCAAAATGAGCTGGAGAGACTGAAAGAGGTAATCCGGAAATGTACGGGGATTTCTCCTTTGGGTTTAATTATGAGGAAGTTGGGACTCCAAGTGTCCCATTATCATTGTGGTTTAAAGTAGTGGTGGGCACACTGTGGTCTGTATGCACGGCCTGGGAAGTAAGAATGGTTTTCACATTTTTTTTATAGCATTGGAAAACAGCCACCACCACACAAAATAAACTAATAAGCCAGGAAGACTAGGTGACAAAGACTGTATGTTTGTTGCTTGCACAAACCTGGTGTTTGCTCTCCGGTCCTTTACAGAAAAGCCTTGTTGAACCCTGGTCTGAAGCTATTTTTAATACTTTCCATTCAGATGAGCGGGCCATTAATTGTTTTTATGTGTGGAAATGTTGAGCACTATTACTGGAATACAACATTAAGTGGTAGCTTTTTTCTCAAAAGTCTTCTCTTCCAACAAGCTGGAAAATATGTTATGGTTGCCTGTGTGAACAGGTAATCTGAGTATGCGACCTATATCTGTTATTCAGCCAATATGATTTAAATGTAGATTTAAAAAAAATGTTGTGGAGTAACTATGTCCTAGCAAAGTGGTCTAGAAAATGAATATATATGAATTTATATAAATATAGGAGTGTATGAATATAAATATATACTCATTTGCATAAAGTAATGTAAATCCTGTTCTGTTGTTGACTGCTATTATAAGCTGAGTATTTTCTTGGAAATTATTCTGCATGTTGATGAAATTAAAAACTTGGTGAAGGCTTTAAGATAATGGTTTTTTAAAAAAGATGATTGTTAAAGCCAGCATATTATCTGCTAACAGCCTTACTTAGCAGTTTAGTTTTCCTTTGGCTAAACTTCCTGATTCACCAGCCATTCCCTGTCCATCTACCCACCTTAATTCAGGCCCTGTGCTAGGCATCGGGCATGCAGATGAGAGTATGGCAGCACGGGCCCTGCTCTCAAGGTGTTTACAGTTCAACATGGCACCCAGATAACACAAATTACAGCAAAGGAGCCAGTGCTGTGACCTCTGATTCCTCCCCCACTCCCTCTACTCACAGCCATGCCAGTCTCGAGCTTGCCCTCCCCGGATATGGTCTTGTTGGGTGATTCCTTCCACGTCCCGCGTGGAGTAGGGTTCGGTACCTGAAAGTGGAGCCGCACAGCAAATGAGAGAAACAGACACGAGATAATTTTGCAATATTGGAGGACCAGGCGGGCAAGTCCCAAAAGACTTCCACCCATGCTCAGGCAGCTCCAATCTTTTATTGATCTGGAGTAGCCCCTAAGAAAAGGAAGTTTCAATGACACACAGATCAGCAATTTCCAGGAGTAGACAAAAGTATCTGATTAACTCATCAATAGATTTCCAAGAATAGGCAGAGTAACTGATTAGCTTATCAATAGATTTCCGAGTGTAGGCAGAGTAACTGATTAGCTTATCAATAGATTTCCGAGTGTAGGCAGAGTAACTGATTAGCTTATCAATAGATTTCCGAGTATAGGCAGAGTAACTGACTAACAATAATCAACAAGGATCTACATAACTATCTAAGGAATTAAGGGAACTAAGGTGTGGATGCTTCAACTATTATTACCTAAATTAACTGAATGGTTCCTAGATTAACTGGTGTGCACAGCCTGACTTTCACTAGGACTTTCATGGCTACTAGCTAACTAGCTTTTTGGGGGGGGGTTTCTTGTCTTAAACTCAGCTAAGGGAAGACAATGAAATGGACTCCCGGGCATCTCCCCCCTTATTTTTTTTCTTTAAAAAAATAATCAAGTCCCCATTTTCATTGCCCAAAA